CAGTTTGCTTTTTCTTGTTGATGCTTTGCTTTCATTGCTCAAACCCTGTAGAACTGTAGGAAGCTCAGAATCACCTGACCTTTCGACAATCAAACCATATTTCTTCAAAAATTGTTTGGGGTTGTTCTTGATCTCCTGGTTTAGATCTTGCTTTTGGCATTTTAACATGCCCTTTTTGAGTTTTCAATCAAATTATCTTTCATACAAAAGAATCTCAAGTTTATATTATGGCATGCCTAATGATGTCGGTGAGTATCTTAAAATCAAGTACTCATGTAAAACCCAATCCGATTAAATAAAATTAAAATATTTATAATTAAGTTCAGATAAAATTTGGGTAGTAAAATGATTATCTGTTACAGGTTTAGATAGTCATTTTTGAGTATCTCTTAATCGAACTCAATTATAAATAATAATTTTTATATTATATTCTAATTATATATATATATATATTTTTAAATTTTTTTAATCGATATAATACTTATTAAAATTCATTAATTGTTCTAAAAATGATTTTAAATTTTAATTTATTTTTATGAATAATTTTATTTATTAGTTAAAATTTCATTAATAATGTACATAAAAAATTACTTTAAATTTATTTTAATTGAATATTTAATATATACAGGTATTTGATGGGTAACATCTAGAATATTAGAATAAAATTTTTTATAATGATTCAAAATTTTAATACAGTATTAATAGCATTCATATACCTTATAAAATAATAAGATTACCTGAAGAATGAAGAACATCCTACTGTAGACATTCTTAACTATGATTATAGTTCAATTTATGTCAGTGCCCTCAGCAGAAGCAACAAAATATGGATCAACTACCAAGAGTCACAATTAGTTAAAATAATTAAATGATACAGAATGTCTAATTAAATATAACATTGCTCCTTCATAATTATGGTATGAGCTCCAAGAAATTTATTACTAATAGCTATTTTTTTTAATTATGATTTTGTGCTAAAAGGAATCAATAATTGACAAGAAATTTGATGATATTCAATGAAAAAGAAAATATTTACTTTTAATATATAGTAAACTATTAACCTTAAAGTGTATTTTTTAAGTTTAAAGGCAATTAGTAGCCAAAATTCTTTAACAATTTTTTATATTTACGTTTTTCCAGAGGAGTGAATCTTTTCAATTTTTGAAGTCCCTACTTAATGCTTGTTCCCATTTGATATTTATAGAGATTAAATTAAAAATTTTTTAAATTTTTTATGATATTAACATTAAATACTTTTAAAAATGAAAATAAAAAATTATAAAAATTAATTTATATTAAAGAAAAAGGTATTTAATTTTGTTTTTTAAAAAAGGAATCAAGAATGCTATCCCAACAGAACTTGGTAAGATTTTTTAAGTTAAATTCGTGAAATGTTTTATTAAACACAATAAAAATAAATAAATTTAGAAAATTCTTAATAATCGTTTTTAATAAAAACTTTACGGTAAATTCTTAAGTTTAAGAGTTAGGAATCGAGGCTATTCGAGTAAAAGATTATATAAGTTTGTTTAAGTCAAATTCGTGAGATTTGTCAATTCAAAACGATCAAATAAAAATTAATTTCAAAAATCAAAATACATAAATTAATAAAATTTAATAAGAAAATCAGTAATATGTAAAATATTTACTAAAAATACTATCTATACACTAAAATTGATCAATATTTATTGAACGGTAAATACTTTATCAAAAAACTTAGTCTAAATACCTAATTTTTAAAATATATATAATTTTCAAATTTTATACAATTTACCCATGTAAGGAAACTTTTCAATCTATCGATTTGGATATTTTATTTAATTAATTTTAATAAAAATTTTGCACCAACTTAACCTTAAAAACTTTACTTTATCTTGCCTATGTATAGCTATTCTCCCTTGATTGCTAAATTTGTAGTCACCCAACCTCTTGTCACTTGTAAGTTACTCAAATCTAAGTATAGATCATGCCATCAAGAAGTGGCATAGCATTTATTGAGAAGCATCACACTACATGATTACCATATCAGCTACAATCATGCTTTGTATATATGCACATCCATGCCAACTTAATTAGGAAAAAAAAAAAAAGAAACACATCATGCTTTTAGAAGCATCAAATCTTTATGAATTGATGCCTTTGACAAAATGTCAACAAGTGATGCCATTTAAATCCATAGCATGTCCTTACCACTCAATGTACAAAAATATGCTTATGTACTTACATCAATTTGACACTCTAGGAATAATGCCTCTTAATTTTTTTACCTTTTTTAACATATACCTAGTTTATGCAGGCATATCTTATGTGTAGATTGATTTGGAATATGAATACCTTAAATATAATTTTCGAATAATTTGGATTTGGTCAAAAGATTGTATCAAACTGATGATAAAAGAAATTTCACATTTGTTAAATTAAGAGTATTTTCACTTATAATTAATTAGTTTTAAGTTAAATGTTTATCTTAAAAATTCAATATAATATCCGAGTAGGCAATGTCTCCAATCATTGACTTTTTTGTGGGTTTTTTTTTTTTATTTATGTTACATGATAGGTCTGTAATCTCTGCACATGAGGAGAGTATTGAAGAAATGATTAAAAAAAATCTTACATTTGTTAAATTAGGAGTACCATATAAATATAACAAGAGGCTTTCTACTTATTATCAATTGATTTTAAATTAAATATTTGTCCAAAAAATTCAATAAATTATTATAATTTTTAAATCAAAATCAAAATGATCTAAAGTTTGAATTCTTTTGTACACCTCAAGAAATCAAGTATGATTTTGAGGGAAGAATTGAAATCTAAGAGAGAGATATATGGTTCTATGGATAACAATTCAAAATTAACATCCAAAATTGAGCATTCAAAGATGAAAATTTTCAAGATGGATAATTTCAAAGACATGACAGCATAGAAGAAATAAAGCTCCCAAATTAGGCACATCAAGCCATAAATTACAATTTGAAAACCAATATATAGCTTTGAGAATTAGAGATTAACACCCATGTCAAAATCAAGAAGAAATTATGAAAAAGATTGGTGTTGAACTATCTAAATTTCCAAGTTTGGAGAACCAAAAGCCATAAATTCATGTTCCCTGTTGTCTCTACCCAAGGTTGAGGCTATATAAAGCCAAGAAGAGACAGAATTCTATTCCATTTGAACATCAGCCACCCAAAAGGGGGACCAAGACTTAACATGGTGCAACATCATACCTATTCTCAATGCACAAATTTGATGCAGGAGTGGGCATTGTGTGATCCTTATCATTTGCATTTGCTCATGCCTATGATGACAACACACAACCTATGAAACCCTTTTGTCTCCCCTTACCATTTTGGTTTAGGAGGCATCCCAACGACAATGGCCATGCCCTTGTTCTATCCTTCCTCTTAAGAATTTTACTCCTTCCAGTAAATTTTTTTTCGGGTTTCTTTTTATTCTATTATTAGAGATGTCAATAGGAGTGCCTTACACTATATGATCCAATTAAATAAGATTAGGGTTCATTATGGGTATTTAATAAATAATGTTTAAGATATTCAAGTATGAATTTAAGTAAAAATTAAAAAATTAAATCAAATATTTTTAAGATTCGAATACCTTATCAAATAATAGAATTTAAATTCAAATATTTAAAAAATAATAAATAACTTACTCTTTGGCATACTTATTGTATGTCTTAAAGCAAGTGTATTCAATTAAAGTAAGAGACTTTGAAGTTCTAAAGAGTCATAAAATACAAATCTTGAGACACCCAAATCTAAAGGAAAAAGTAGCAAGAAAAAGGGTTTCAAATGCTAGCTTTGGAAGATACCAACAAAGTGAATAAATGTATCTTACATCTAAAATGGATAGCACTAAGACAGTTTGCCTCAACAATGGTGTAAGAAAGGGACAAGTGTCAGCTTTCGGATCCAGCCATGAAATGGGTCCCGCAGGTTTTAGGGTTTTGTAATGTTTTGACCTTGTCTGTAGCTGGAACAGAAAACACAGCAAGGTTTGCACGATGGTTGAACTAAAACAAGTAGACGCGTTGCAACGTTGGCCAGCCAAATCCAAGTTTATGAAGCCCCATTAACCCTTTCTTTTTCTTTTTGTGTCCCAAGTTTTATCATATTCTCACTTCTTCCCCTAATGTATTTGCATTTTCTGTTTTGCGCATTGTTATTTTATTTATCGGATTTATGATGCAAGAAAACATTAATTTGAATTCAATTCTTCGAATATGAAAATATATACCCTAAGTGGCATCGAGTCGGATGTTCGGATGTTTTTTCGTTGTGTTTCATCTTGTACCGTTTATGATGAAATTTTCAATCCTTCATTTTAATGTAATGAGGCTTATTTATGTATTTATATGCTTTATTTGCATTTCATATATAATTACTTTTAGAATGATTAATAAAGTGCACAAATGGGATGATTAATGGGAATTGAACAATGATTTGGAGTTATGTGAATCACTCTATGTCATTGTTTTATAGTTACATTACTCACATTAGATTAAATTGGAAAATAAGGCATGCAAGAATTTTTACTCTCTTAGGACAGGGAGTTGCATTTATACAAAATTTAATAGTTCATTTCAATCTAAATTAAATAACCAATTGGCAATTTAAGTATAGAATGGTTTTGGAGATAAGATACAAATGTTAATTAAGAATTTTTATGGGATTTGTCTTCAAATTTGAGGAATCAAAGAAATGAGGAGGAATACATCATTTTTCTTATGTAACTTTTTAATCAGTAAACAGAAAAAAGAAAATATTGAAGGTCACAACTCAAAAGTAGTGACAAAATTGAATTCCAACAGAACCATAGAGTAGATATGGAATTGTATGAAAATACAAGGACAAAAATGCAAAAATCAGCATAAGAAGATTAATTAATTTTTCAATTTGGACAACAGAAGCAGAAACAAAATGAGAAGAGAGTAATGTACTAAAATTAGTGGTGAATGGTAAATGGACATTTCAGACACTAAAAATGGCAATCACATCATCATCACCACCACCACCCTTTCTAGTCTCCCTCCAACTGTTTGGTCTGCTAGTTATTTTAGGAGCCAAATCCGGGGATCAAAAGGAAAATTGTTCTTTGTTCAATCCCAACCAAACCAACCAAAAACAAAGAAAAGAAAAAAAAAACCCAGAACTCCTTATACCAATCTTCATCCTTTTTGGCTTTCTTCACGAATCCAACAGCTCCCATTTCTTTGTAAATTTTGTTTTTTGCAATATCTGAGAAAATACCCATTTCTTTAAACAAGCTTAGAAGCTCTAAAAGTTCAGAACTTTCACAAGAAAAGGAAAAAAAAAGGATTGGATTTTGTTTATTTTGATGATTCCATTTCCCTCCATTTTTTCTCTGTCAAGGGTCAGTTTCAGAGATGCTTTTGTTTTTGTTGGTCTTCCTGAAAACCCCACATTGATGCAAGAGAAGAGACAAAGAGGGATGGATAGAGACATTTTTTGATCTTTGGGTTATTATTTGGTTAAAGAAAGGAAAGGAAAGGAAAAGGAATGCAGAGTTTGAACAAAGATACAGTTTTTATTTGTTTAGTATACATAGAATGAGCAAAAAGCTTGGCTTTAGAAAGGCCCTGGAAACAAAAGTAAAGAAATCACAAGCAGCGGCAAAGAAGAAAGCAATCAGCATATTTACAGCAATGTCTGTAGCTCACGTTGATGATGAAGAACCTGGCCCTGGTGAAGTTCGCCATGTTGAAAAAGTCCTTTCAACAGGGGACTTTTATACAGGCCAATGGTGTGATAGTTTGCCTCACGGCAATGGAAAGTTTTTATGGACTGATGGTTGTATGTATGTTGGCGAGTGGCTTAAAGGAAAGACAATGGGGAAAGGCAGGTTTAGTTGGCCCTCAGGTGCTACCTATGAGGGTGAATTCAAGAGTGGTTTTATGGATGGTAAAGGGACTTACACAGGTTCTTCAGGAGATACTTATAAAGGTTCTTGGGTTATGAACTTTAAACATGGGCAAGGGACTCAAAGCTATGCCAATGGGGATTACTATGAAGGCGAATGGCGCCGCGGATTCCAGGACGGACATGGGAGGTACCAATGGAAGAATGGGAATCATTATATTGGTCAATGGAGGAATGGGATGATGAATGGCAATGGAACAATGATTTGGAGTAACGGGAATAGGTATGATGGTTTCTGGGAGGATGGTTTCCCTAAAGGGAATGGGAATTTTAGATGGGCAGATGGGAGTTTTTATGTCGGTGTTTGGAGTAAGGATGATAAGGAACAGAGTGGAACTTATTATCCTTCTGGTTCTCAAAGTGGGAATCTAGATTGGGATCCTCAACAGTTGTTTTTGGAGGATTTGAAAGATTGCATGATATGTCCTGGTGAGAAGGTGTCAATATTTCCGTCACAAAAGATGCCACATTGGCCTGGAATGGGCAAAGGGAATGGGGGGAGGCCTAGGAGATCATCAGATGCGAGGTTAAGTAATTATAGTTGGAGTTCAGATGCAAATGATGTTTCTACTGCTAGTGACGGGGATTTGAGGGATGGGAATGAAGGAGTTGGGAATCTTCATGATGAAGATTCTGATACAAGAGGGAGTTTGCCACAGTTCAAGATGCCAATGAAGAAGCAGGGGCAGACGATATCGAAAGGGCACAAGAATTATGAGCTCATGCTTAATTTGCAACTGGGTATCAGGTAATGTTAGTGTATCTTTTTTTTTTTTTTTTCTAGTTATTAGTTTGAATATTGTTTGCTAGGTATTGAACGTATAGTTTATTCCCAGTTAAGTAAAACTGAATCTTATCTTGAACACTAATGTCAGTTTTTAGGTAAAATGATCAATGTTCTAACCATGCATATAATGATTCTCTGATTACATTGCAGACACTCTGTTGGAAGGCCTGGTCCGGCTATAACCCTGGATCTGAAGCCTTCAGCTTTTGATCCTAAGGAAAAAGTATGGACCAAATTTCCTCCTGAAGGATCCAAGCACACTCCACCTCATCAGTCTTGTGACTTCAAGTGGAAGGATTACTGTCCGGTTGTGTTTAGGTTAGAGACTGGATCGTCTACTTGTTCACAACAGAATCCTTCTTTGCAGAACTGTGTGTTAACTGTGCTGCTATAATATAACAATATGATGCACTTACGAAAATAATTGTATGCCAATGGAAACATACTAAACACACCGTTTTCACTTTATCCAATTCATTACATTATAATGTTACAATAACCATATGATATGGATCTTATACTATCATTTTATGGTTACAAGTTGTTCCTGACATATCATTTTTTACATTTTCAGGACCCTTAGGAAATTGTTCAATGTGGATGCAGCTGATTACATGATTTCAATATGCGGGAATGATGCCCTTCGGGAACTATCATCCCCTGGAAAAAGTGGAAGTTTTTTTTACTTGACCAATGATGACAGATACATGATAAAGACAATGAAGAAGGCAGAAGTAAAAGTAAGTGTTATTGTTGTTTCTATTGGATTTTCCAGTTAAATTTAGGAACTAGCTAGCTTTAGATTCATTTTCAATTTCTCATTGGTTTTTATTACAAGCACATCTTTCATGTATCATAAAGCTATCCACTGTACATCCTGAAAATTTTTCTAGATGACTATTATTGGTTGCGCACAATTCACTGGCTCATGAATTTTCAAGTTCTCAGTCAATTTTTGCTTTACCTGGCTTTAAACATTCACTATCCAAACTGTTGCAGGTCCTCATAAGGATGCTTCCAGCCTACTATAATCATGTTCGGTCCTTTGAAAACACTCTAGTCACCAAATTTTATGGTCTTCATTGTGTAAAATTAACTGGGGCAGCGCAGAAAAAGGTAATATCGATGTTACACAATTTCAACTTCAAACAAAACTACTCTTCAAAAGTCATAAAATTTTAGAAATCAATCTCATACTTTGTTCATTTGGGATCAATGAGTCAGGTGCGATTTGTTATAATGGGGAATCTGTTCTGTACTGACTATAGCATTCATAGGCGCTTTGACTTGAAAGGTTCTTCCCATGGCCGCACAACTGCTAAACCTGAATCAGAAATTGATTCGACAACTACCCTCAAAGACCTTGATCTCAATTATATATTTCGATTGCAGAAACTGTGGTACCAGGAGTTTTGCAGGTGATTATCTTTTTTAATAACCTCTTTCTCTTTAAGATGTCATCATTCTCTGTAATAGTCTATTGGTTAAGATGGGAATGCAAGACATTACCAGGTTCCTCTTGTTTGATTTGTTACTTGCATCTGAATTGCTACTAGGGCTGATTTTATTGAAAATTCTATTTAATTAAAGCTGCAATTAGCTAGATCAAACCTTTGTAGGAGAGTGCAGAGAGTTGAATTCTATTGTGCCTTCAAATGTTCGAGTAGATCTCTTGATTCCTTTTTTTTTGCTTCCTAGAAAATTAAATTATCATCTCTTTTTGCACAGGCATTGTATTGTAGCTTTTAAGTTTAGGTGAGATATATGCCTTCTTCTTTTTTTTGCACAATTGAATGATAAACATGGAACTTTTGGAAGAAAGCTTGGAGTATGGTTTTATGTTATTTTTCTTTTCTAATCTAAGTTGCTCTTCATGCAGGCAAGTGGACAGAGATTGTGACTTTCTTGAACAGGAAAGAATTATGGACTACAGTCTGCTGATTGGTTTTCACTTTCGAGAAGTTTCCACACCTTGTACTTCTGGAGTTTGCACACCTACTGGTTATTTCTAGTCATCTCTGGAATTAAAATTTTCCATGACTTTGACATCAGTGGTTGCTCAACTGATTAAGATATGTTTTGCAATTGCCTTGCAGGAAATGGAGATTGTGAAAAGGCTGACAAGGATAAGCTTCTTTTCAGCCCCTCTCGGTAAAATGAACATTTTCATTTTTAGATTCTCATTTATATTTTTCAGACTACTTCAGACATTGGCATTGTAGCTAAGTAGGCATTACTGCTGTCTCCCGCCTTTATCATAACACTGGAATAATTAGTCTTAAGCTGTCAGAATTAAACTGTTCACTATGGGAATCTCACTTGGGTGTGTACTAATGTGTCTTTGTATTCTTCCTTTTCTGTTGGTCAACAAAAAATAGAGGAAAGAAAAAAAAAATAGATATCAATCGCCGTGACCATGAGAATTAATAGATCGAAAAAAGTTACATGATGTCTATATGAGGCAATAATTAGTTTTACTGATGATCTTTCAATTGGACAATGCAGGTTGTCTTCCATTGAATTAGGTATAAGCATGCCCGCTCGGGCTGAAAAGACAGTGAGAAGAAGTGATTGTGAAGCTCAGCTGGTTGGAGAACCCACCGGGGTAATATATGATGTCATCCTCTTCTTTGGTATAATAGACATTCTACAGGACTATGATATTAGCAAGAAGCTTGAGCATGCTTATAAATCAATGCAGTATGATCCAACTTCAATTTCTGCTGTTGATCCAAAACAATATTCAAAACGCTTTCGGGATTTTATTTTCAGAATTTTTGTAGAGGACACTTGAAAGTTATACTTTGATCAGATCTTCAACTTGGAACCAGTGTACGGTCATGTACATTCGATCATTTTTTGGAGATGTGAGTGCTTAAAAGCAAAAAGGTTAACATTTTGGTTATTGACATGGCCATGGAGGATGATCTATGGCAGCACCGGACACGCCTTTGTAATCTAGGATTAGTTTCTCACCAGCTCTTCATCTCTCACTTTACAGTTGCAGATATATGATATGTTATAGTCAATGGTGTAGGTTAACATTGTAATCAGAGTTACTAAAACTTCCTTCAAATGTAAATGAATTGACCGGATGGTGAAACCTGCATTGAAATTGATTCTTTTGTACCTAGAATTTTTTCCCCAGAAGGTTAGGACTCTCCGGGGTTCAGCTTGAAATAATGTACAGAAAGGGATTGGAATGAAACTAACTCTTAGTTGTTTATATTAAATGAAATTCATTTTTTATTTAAGATGAATAATTTTGCTTCCATTCTTTGTATCTGGTGTTTGTATGACATCTGAAGTTGATGTATCACATCTACACTGAAATCTACAAGCCATACTTCTTTGTATGAGAGTTCATTTTTTTTCTCTACTCAGTTTTTATTTTAAGGTCAAAGTCTGAGAAAGGAAGGTCTGTTGTGAACTGGGTTGCAGATAAATCAGTTTTCCTCGTCAACAATAATAGTCTGACATATTTGTACATTGCAAGAAGAGCCAGAATTCCAGAGCTTCACAGAGTAAGCAGTGCAACTTCAAGCCTTCCAGGTAGCTAAGCAACAGACAACTAAAACATGGGGATGACCTGGGGGCTGGGGCATGCCAAGAATATATTATACCCCATTTTGATCTTTGGGGTATGATGCTGCCTGCCCACTGTCAGGCGAAAGAATCTCCCCTGGAGCTGATTTATTCCAAGTTAGAAATTCATTTAATGGCAGCTACCTGAATTTTGGACTTTCCTATTTAAATGCTGAAAAACATTGTTCTAAATCACCTGATTGGAGTTCCCTTAAATTCTAATGTGAGATTGGTTTCTCAGCTGACAGGTATTATATTTGTAAACTTGCTGACCATATATCTGAATCTCTTTGATCCCAGTAACCCCTGATTACTTTTATTATCATTATTCTTTTAGTAATAATCATGTGAAATTCATCTGCTTCCCATAAATGGATGACTGATGGGGTTAAACTTTTGAAGTACTTAAAAACTTATATACTAACTTTGGGCAGTGTGTATAACTATCTTGGAATTATTCTCCCAGGATGATTCTTACCTACAGGTTTTCTTGAGAAATTTAATGCATCAACCTACCACTCTGTTTATTCTAAAACTAACCATTAATCTCCTTCCAGTGCCAATCAACTCGAACATACCTTTGCATTTGCAGCTGGGAAGAAGAACAAAGAAGCACATCATGTTGGGGCTTTTCCAATACACACCTGGCCTACTTCAGTTATGTTAGTACATCAAAGTCTAATACATTTACAGCATGCCAATAAATTGTCTGTTCTTGAGGCAGCAACCAATTCGAAGGCCACTGTCCTTGAGAAGGGACCATTCAAACAATCAGTGCAGTTTGACAGATTTAATTAGCTTGATGGGTACCAAAAGTCCCCTGGTCAAGGAGGTTGGGCTGTCAAGCCAGTCTGGGTCCTAGCCAGACATTTATGACTTGCCCCAGCACCCATGGACTTGAGTCATTATGGTGGAAAAATTGTAGGCATGACCATCTGATCAATACTAGGATTTGATTGATGCTCATGGGCTCCAACTTTACTGAATCAGAACTATTCATTCGTGTAATTTGTCCATAAGATCCAATTATTCATTGGTGTATTCAAAGAAGGAACTCAGCCTCACCTAAGATTACAGAAACAAGAAAACCTGTACAACAGCATTGAATCAAAGACAGCAGACAGCAAATAAAACACATGTAAAAACTTGTCATTCTATGACTATAGATGGGGCCTAAATTAATAAATTTTGGATTTGATTCCTGATGTAAGAAATTATAACTTGTAGGATGACGCAGGTGTCACATTTTACTGATCACAATTCCTTGTCATTAAAAAACAAAAATAGAACCATGTAAAGAGGTCTAGAACTATAATAATAATAATAATAATAACAATAATAATAATAATAATATGCAGAATTTGATACCCTTATTGACATGAGATTCCTAAACAAGTTATACTTAGTTGGAGGGATCAAATCGGAAAAAAAAAAAAAACTTACCAAGAATTTTGAGTTGGCCTTTTCTGCTCTCGAGAATGACTTGACTCACACATTATTGAGTAATGCAGTCACTCCAAATCCAAAATATGTTTCACACATTGAGATTCCTAAACAAGTTATGGATTGGTTATGCTTGTTAGTCTGAAAGGTAAGAACTGCAACAAAATATGTTAATATTGGTCTGATGCTATTGGAATCCCATTTGAGGTGTGCAGTAAAAGGTTGTTGTAGTATAGACGGAGTCCTTTGAATGAAAATACCTATGGGAATTTTGAGAACAAAATTATAAGCCCCAATGGCAATGGAAATTTCAGTTATAAGAGAGAAGGTAAAAGAAACTGATATAGCAAATGCAATGCTGTAATTTCATTTGCAAGAGACTGTCATCACTGTCCAATAGCCTGCAGCATAGCATTTTTGGGCTGGCTGTAGACTGATAATCGAGAAGTTCTGTAAGTAATAAAAGTTCCCATAATTCAGATTGCTCCTCACCATTGCTTAGATGTATTAGTTTCAATGGCCAAGGTTTTCATCTGGTTTTTTGAAGTGCTTAGTAGCACTAGTTCTTCAATTATTCCATAATTGTAGCAGTTCTAGCAGATCAAAGTCTTCCTTCTAGCACAAGAAAGCTGCCAACAACATTGGCACGGGCTAGAAACAAGCATAGAACATACACCTATTTAAAAAAGTTCTCATTAAGTACAACTTTGAATTTAACCTTCCAGTGCCTTAATATCCTTACACTAATATTTCATTCAAATAAACATTTCAAAATTGAAGAAAATGAACTTTCAATATAATGTTCTTATAGATTGACAGCTTTACTCTTTATACCAACACTCTTGGTTGCTGAGGGCTTGAAGGCAATGGAACCCAGCTTCAAGAACAGCAAAAAGCACTTAGCAGTGCTTGTGACTATCAAAAGTTGATGAAGAACCTGCCACGAGTGCAAGGTCCCATAGAGCAGAAAATGACATGCCACTTCTTCAGGGGGTTAAAAAAAAGGAAAGCATATGCTTTGTACATAGTCTAGTATATGTGCATTCCACCAAAATTGGCACGGTTGGATCCCGTTCATCACCTAGCATACATGCACAATCTTGTGAAAAGTTAAGAAAGAAATCTCATAAAAATAGCAAGTGGAAAGGCACACAAAGAAAAATGGAAATTGAAAATTCAATATGACAGTGCACATAAGCACTGCAGAAAAAGGTTCATTGTACTGATATGTATACCAGGTATCAAACACGTAAACCAGAAAGAAAACTATATAAGATGATAAAGCTCAAACTGTTCTATTACAAGATCATCACTAAGAAGAAAATAATTTGATTTTAATGTCACAAAGCTTAATATGCTTGGACTGAGACATATTTGATTATAGCTTAGCAGCAGAATCAGGAAAATAACTCAAAATTGAAAGAAATCTTGCCAAGTTCCTCAAAAAAGGAGGCTATGTACTTGACAACAACGACCAATAGCTCTATGGCAGCCAATCTCAACTTTCTTCATGATTGAACTTAAGAACTTTAACTAGCCATTAGGGAGAGAGAGGGAGAGTTGAAGCCAGAACCTGGAAAGGGATATTGAGGACTGTTACCTAGCATTGTTGTCAGATTCAATCAACAAAGACTATTAAATATCACTAAACGTTTGTTTGCTAAGAAAGGAGAACTAAAGGAAGAGGTAAAGGATTTGACACTGGTCGTCTGCTCCAAAGTAAAGTCACAAAAAGAAATTGAGTGAAAAATTTACAAGTTTAGTAATCCATACAATCAGAATCCAGCAACCTAGAGATGCAAAGTTAGGAAACACGCAGAAAAAAAGAGATGTGCAAACACACAGAAGAAAAGCACAGAGGATAGGCAGATTTAAGAAACAGGAGTGCTTTGGATTTTTGGTGGAGATAATAAACAACTAGGCCAAAAGCATCCGTTGTAGCAATGACATCCTTGTGTTTGCTCAATATATTAAACCCTATTTGATTGTTGCTTTTGCAAGTTGATTTTTGTTATTTCCATATTTGGGACTATTAGACAAAAGAGGAAAAAATGAACCAGTTTTCATAGGAGTCAAAGGGGTAATGAGAGACGATTGTCACAAGCATCCTGAATTGTCCTCATTTCAACTCATATGCCAAGTTAGTTCCACCATTTTATACTTCATATGGAAAAAATAATATTAAAAGATTCAAGATGAAATTAGCAAAATTAGTTATTTATGGAGGTGTGAAGAAGAGCTATACTGCATTTTTCAGCTAAATCAACTGTGATATCATCATTGTAAGCAAACTCGAAACAGGGCAAAGACACCGAAAGACTGATTGCACCAGGTAGTGCCTTGCAATGAAAATGCATTGTATGCAACATCCTAATAATTAATTTATCAATGCATAGCAGAAGTGTACCACTTCGTGGTTTCTGCACACATGTTAATCATTCCAAACATATTAGATGTGCATGTGTTGGTACATGACAAAAAGGTCATACAAACTTTATTGAGGAAATTCCAAACGTGAACCGGATGAAATTTCTTGTCCTGATGTTGGGATCCTACGCTGCCATTGGGCCCCAAAAGAATTTCTGAGGATGACTAACAGCAGAGACAAGAACGTAATAATTGTACATTTATGTGATTAATGTGCTACTGTATGGTGGAAATGTATCAAACACTAAAGTGGATGTAGATCATGGCACATGCGATGCTTTCGCTTCTTTAACAAAGATGGATAGCGACACAGGAACAAGAACCCCTGCTTGTTCATGACGCTTCACTCTGGTACTCTCTTCAATTTCGAAGAAGACATAGGCAAGAGAAAAGAAAAAGAACCTGTAATCTTATGAGATGCTGGATATGAAGTATCCATGACAAAATATAAGGTTTTCCCTTTCGTCCCTCTTATTTGATCATTAAGTTAACCAAAATGTTGAGAAAGTTGTGTTACCATTTGACAATCACTAGCTAGGATTACTTGATAAGAAAATTTCTATCAGATTTTGCTCTTTAACCAGTAATTAGTCCCCAAAGCAAAATTATCAGATGCTGAATGCTAAAGCTTGTACCTTAAACTGATAGTCCTCAGTCACCAGAGGCTGCAAAGGTGTTTGGTGGATCAACATTGGGAGAAGAAGAATCCCTATCCCTTCCACTGCTGCTGCTATCGAAAAGCATTTTCGAAATGCAAGGAAATGCATTCTTCA